TCAACCAGAGTTGAAAGCTTCCCATATCCATTTGTCCATTTCTTTTTATTCTATGCCCACCTGTTTCTGCTCTCTCTGGGACCTCCTGTTATGTCAGCAACTGTGTCCTCCCAGCTGTTGCTGCTCAGCTGTTGTATTTTGTCAGCAGCAATTTCTCCTTTTTAAAATTTGAAAACTTGGGAGAGAGTCAGAAAACTTTCTGTGGATTAGAGGAAACATTTGATGGGGTGGAGTGTTGATGGGTGGATTGGAAAGGAATTAGAAACTTCATTCTAGTAAGTATAAATTTTGTTCCTGCCGCCAGACTGGCACCAGATAAGGGCACTGGTATCATCTGACAAATCTCAGTAACTTCCAAAAAATACCAGAACATTCCTTCAAAGGCTACCCCCCCAGTCCCTGCAATGCCTTCTGTGTAGACAGGGAAAACTTTTTTTGTTTGTTTGTTTGGTTTTTTTTTTTTTGGTTTATTGAGACAGGCAGGGAAGCCTTTTTTCTTTTCCCCACCCCTTCCCCAGACTTCTTTCCAATGTTCACATCCTATTTTCTTGCCTCATGGTACACAATCTCCCATCCTCCCTCCTGGCAGTGTCTGGAAAGGAATCCTGCTGCTCCCTATAGAGACAGCTGTTGCTACTTCAGAAATCAGCCTTGGTCAAGGCAACTGAAATTTGATTTCTGGTACAAATAAGTAACCCTCGTCCAGTTCCTCTCTTCACTTTGGTAGCCACCCACCTCCTCAGGCACACAGCTGTAGAGGAGGGTGCAGACATTGTCTGGTTCCCATTTGGAAGAAAGAAAGGAAAAGTGAGGGGAACACAGAAAGGGAGAGAAGGCTGAGCACAAAAAGAATAAAGGCTGCAGGAGTGGTGTAATGGAGAAAGGAGAAAAGGGAAAGGGCAGGTTAGTTGGAGAAATGAGGCGATGGCTGAGTTCTGGGTCTGAAAGACCCAGGATATTGACATTCTCTGCCTTTGGAATGGAGGTTCCTGACAGCCCTGGAGGGGCATCTCATTTTCCAGTGCGAAGGTAGGTATGAAAGAAGCAGCTTTTGCTGAAGGGCCTCTTCAGAAGGAAGAGAAATTTGCTCTGCTGTATTTTGGCTCTATTAAAAACAAATTGAAACAATAACAAAAACAACATCAACAAATAAGATTGTAACACGTCAGTAGAAACTGTTCTCCAGGAAGATAGACTATGTAATATTCCATTAAAAATGTAAAATGGCTGTTTAATAACTAACTTCATCTGCTTGGGTATTTAATTTTACCTGTCTAGTTACAGAAATGTGTTAAGGAATCACTCAATATTGGGAGATCACATGTGATAGTTTTAGATTTATAATTAGTGATAAGTTAAGCGATAACTCTTAGGGAACAAAAGCTATATTATATAATGTATTGCTTAAGGACTTGTTTAGGGTTTTTAAAAACCTTTTTTAAAAGACATTGTTTATTTTTGTAAGTTGCTATCGAAACTAGAATGAGCCAAAATAAACACATGCCCACAAATGAGATACTCTCTCAGGTACTTAAAATTCATGTGAATTTCAAGTTTATTGCCTGGAAATGTTGGAAATCTCATAATAGGGCCTACATTTCTTGCTTCAAATGGCTCTGAGCACACTGGGCTTGTTATTTCATTTTTTTAAACTGCAACAACCATGCTAATAAAATTTGAATTCAAAAGTGTGATAGGGAAAAGATGTTTTGGCCTTTGGTTTGTATTGAGTAGCCAGTAGTGAGGAGAGTAAAGAAATGCCTTAAAATGGGGGCATTTGGAGCCCAGTGAACAATAGACCACATCTTTGTTAATTGCTGATGGTTAATGCTTTTAAAGGTACAATTATGTGGGGAGTTAAGAATTGGAATAATAAAGGTAGAAATTTGTCTTATACAACATTATTTGCAGAAGAAGAAAATAAACTTCTTTTATTATGAACATTAATCATGACCTGTCAGGTGTCAGTTTTCAAATCTTAGTATACATTTTGAAAAAAAAAAATGAAAGTTTCAGTCAGTGGAATATATCCTGGTTCATTGAGTGGCAGGAAAAGGATTCTTCCATTTTAAGCCATGTGCACTCTTATGTGCAATGTGTTTATTAGCACCCTGTTTTACTGAGAGTTGTTTTTAACATTAGTGATAATTCAGGGCTCAGACAATGGCCATTGGACAAAACAGTATGAGATGCTGAGGAGGGAAAGCGGAGCTGAAACAGCACAGTGCACTGCCTTGCCTTGGAAAGCCTCATATAAAATGAGGTCATTCAGAAACTTTCCCTTGAAGTGCTTCCAATTCTTGAATTGCCTTTTGTTTGGGAAATGAATAGCAAGTTGATTAAAAAAAGAGACAATTAGGGGAGGTAGGGGGATGGGATAGAGAAGAGCTTAAGGTTTTGTTCCAATGGAGCTAACACTACGAAGAAACTTCATTGTTCCTGCTAGCCTGGTCCCCAGGGATGTCTGCACAAGGTGGTGTCCCCAAATAGTCCATGTCCACTAGAGAGATCCTGCCAATATCCTCGTCGTCCCCTTTCACTGCTCTTGATAAGATCCTTGGCTTTAAAATCCCTCTTCATTGAACCCAAGTATTCAATTGTGACTCACTGAAGCTGTCTGCCAGTTAATTTTAACTGCCAAAACATGATACCTGATGGCTCACTGCTGTATGGAAATTAAAAAGGATCCTTGTCGAGTTCTTTTGGTAGTCTCTCTCTCTCTCTCTCTCTCTCTCTCTCTCTCTCTCTCTCTCTCTCTCCCTCTCCCTCTCCCTCTCCCTCTCCCTCTCCCTCCCTCTCTCTCCCTCTCAAATGAGAAATTGAAGCTTTTCATGATGAGCTATGCTTGAGTATTTTATTTTTTATGTTTATGTTAATTTTCAGAAATGGACAGCATGCATGTGATATGGTCATAGAAACTGAATAGACATGAGAAATAAAAACTGTCATTGGAAGACTTATGAATCACTTGTCCTGTGTGGGAGTGTACACATTTTGCTTCCCTGTGGCTTTTCCTTCAGGTGCCTATGCAATCACACCATTATCAGCCAGAGTGTTTAAACTCAGCTATACTCTGTACGCTTTTCTTGGTTCACATCACTGTATTCCATGCAGTGACCCTGGTTTTGCTTCTACCTTCAAATGGCCAAAGCAAATGTGCTTTGGAAAGCATGCTACACTGTAGTTGCTAAATAAGGCAATAACCTATGCACTTGTAATTCTCTCCCTATGACCTACTTACATCCTACTTCACCCTCCTTATAGTATGATTAAAAGCTGCTTTGAATCCACTATTGCCTCAAGGGATTTGAGGCTAGAATTTAACAAACTGCTGAGAAGGCTTAAGTCAGTAAGAGGGCTCCCCTACAGCTTCGTCTAACTAATTCACATGCAATTAAAGAGAAAATAAATATTTCAGAAGTATATATGTTGATGGAGCACTTTCTACCTTATGGACTATAGGTGCACATGGAGCTTTGTTCTGTAGCTGATTTTAAAATGCTTTTTCTTTTTAGTGTGGTTGTGTTCAGTTTGTTTTGGAGGTTGGCTCTGTTCGATCTATCTTAAATTTACTATACAGTCAGCTCATTGTATGCCCTCATGATTTTGCAAATACTATATAGTAGTAGATCCAGAAGTGTCTAGATTATCTTCAGTTATCCAAATAACTACTAGAGTAAGACAATTTCAAAAGTGATTGGCAATAGCCTGGTGAGGAATAAAAACAGATTAGAATTAGGAGGGGAAAGCATGGGTATGGTTTTGTTCTAATAATTCATTTTTGATGCAATTGTCTGTCAATTGACTATAAACTGAGACTTGGCTCCTCCAGAAAGGCAATATTTTAAAGTGAAAGTTAATTAAGTCTTCCATTTTAACTACTTTGCAGTTAGGAGGCTAAAAGCCAGATAGGTTGCTTAGCTGAAGAAGAAAAACAAATCAAGTTTGTTTGTGTGGATCTAACTGAATAGCATAGGTCTGTTACTCCATATTGCTCACTATCCCATCTGGATTTAAAATGGACACATGACTATTTTGTCTTATAATCTCTAAGGAGAGTTCCCAATGTCACACAAGAAATTGGTGAGGACAAATTAAATCATTTCTTTATATTATGTCTGATAAATTTAACTATTGTTCACGTAGTTTAACTATTTGGCTACCAGAATCCAGGCATGCCTTGATTTGTGTGGAAAAACAGCTCTTTAGTACAATGTTCTGGTTTCCTTTAGAACAACAGCATAGAGTAGAAATTAAAAATTTCAAACAAAATCATAAACTATATACACATTATGTATTATTATGTGTATATATGCCTATGTGTACACATACATATACTTAAAAATGCATTACCTCAAAGTTTAAGACATGCCATTTGAGAATGAAACAAAAGTTATTACCACAAAAAGTATACTATAAAGTTCATAGTGCACAATTTATGATGTTGACTTGGAACATAAAATTAAACATACATACGTGTTTCTACACTGAGAAAAGTTTGCTTTAACCCAAATAACCAAACAACGAAACGAGGACAGCACGCTGCATTATACCCTACTTTTCCTGAAAACTTTTGTTAACCATGTATTTATTTGTCGTTTTTCTCTCAGCTCCTCATAGTATACCTTCCCACAAATCTTAGGTGTGACACTAAGTCACAGGACTGGCTTTTAATGAAACGCCAATTTTGAGATTCACCTTTTTTAAAAAATCGATTTATGACTGTTTCTCATTCTAAGACCCCTTTTTGTGTCTCGGTGTGTTTACTTTGTCCTCAAATGTCACTCGGGCCATTTCTCCGAGTTACTTCGCCTGCAGCAGAGAGAGAATAGCGTCCCAGGGGCGGCTGGCGAGCCCCACCCCAGCGGGGCACGGGGGTCACTCGCGGTGACTGTGGCCCGCGGCTCGGCACTCTGCGTGGCCGTGGGAACCGGCCTCCGAGCCGGGCAGGGCGGCAAGACCTCGGCGCCCCGGGGATGGCGGGGCCGTGCGCAGAGACCGGGGCGCCGGGGCCGGCCGGGCGGGCCCGCAGGGGTTAAGCGTGGAGCGGCCGCCCCGGGAGCTCCGCCCCCGCCCGCCGCACCTGGCGCTCGGCAGCCCGGCCGCCCCGGCGCTGGCTCGCGGAGGGGATTGGTGGAGCGCGCGACGGAGAGAATGTGACAAGTGCCCGCTTCGGCGGCCGCCCGGGGAGGCCGCGCGCACCTGTCCCTGCCTGTCTCGCGCCGCCCGCGGCCGCTCGGACGCGCGCACAGCCCCCCGCCGCCGCCGCCGCCGCCGCTGCGTGCGCTGAGAACATGACTTCTGCCTTCAAGCTGGATTTCCTCCCGGACATGATGGTCGAGAGCCGCCTGCTCGTTGCTGACAGAATGTGAGTGGCCCAGGGCCGAGGGGCCGTGCGGCCGAGCGGGGCGTCGTCTCCTCAGGGGCAGCGGCCGCCTCCCTTGGCGTCTTCTTTTCTGAGGACGCGGCCCGGACGGCGCTGGGCCGAGCGGGGCGAGCGGGGTGAGCGGCCAGGCTTCCCCGGGCGTGCCGGCGCGGGGCTGGCGGCAGGGGACCCACAAGAGGTCGCGCGGCGTCCCGGGGCCCCGAGCTGGGCGAGGCGTCCTGCAATGGGACCGGCCGGCCCGGGCACGGGGTCCGGGGAGGGGCGGGCGCGTGCTGCCTTGCACGATCGTGTCATCAGAAATGCGGGGTGGCCCGGCGGAACAGCCCTGGCTTTTGCACTCAGTCCTGAGATGGGAGAAAAGAGGACAAGAGAGAGAGAGAGAGAGAAAGAGGATAATTACAAACCCTCAAAACTAGCCAGGTGTACTCTCTTAGCGAAATTAGAGGTAATTTTTTTACGTAATCGGGATAGTTTTGTCTGATAGGCAGTCTGTGATTTAATAATTAATGTGATTCTGGTTTTACGTGTCGACAAACTAGGCTAGAGCGGTTATTGGGACAAGTAGAGGGCTGGGATCCGCGAGGAAAGGAAACTATGTGTAATTTTTATCTGGCTGGTTTGTCCTCGTGTGGAAGTTTCTCTCTTTAGCTCAGGAATCTCAGTAGGATCCACTTGTGTTTCTGGCATGTTATGTAAAGAAACCCCAGATAGAGAAAGGATTGAGGGGGGGGGGGTCTGTGTCCTTCTGAGACATGGGGTGTATATAATTCTCTTATCAATGTATCAGATGGGGTTGGGCTGCTGCTGTCAGTCAGATAATGTACAAATTTTTCCTGCTCTCTCCACATATGCTTTCTGGCACCTTATGGTAGTCGTCAAAACGCTCAGGCCGTTCCAGGCTTTATGATCCATTTCTCTGGCAGCTAACTTTCCCTTGTGATGCTAGATTCTTTTTCTGGTATGTTAAGTATTATGAGTTGAGAATCTTGAGAAACTGCCTCCACAGTGGCCAATTACTGAATCCCTAGGATTAAAAAAAAAAAAAAAATCAAGTGGGCGATAATGATAGAATCTGTTAAAATATGAATTGTCTTTTCAGTTGCTATTAGGACTGCTAACTTGAGAAGACATGGTCAAGTTCACTGTCAGAGATAATCAGATAACAAATTAAAATATCGATTCCCTTTTGGTACTTTTCTTTGAAAAATTAATCTTGGTTAGTAATATTCTCATGGTAGTTTTAAGAGATCTCTATCCTGTCTTCCCCTTAAATATAAACCTTAAACCTTACACTCACACAGTCCATATCTGCACATGAGATACTCTGCAAGTCTTACATGTTTTTCTCTATTATGCTGGAATGTTAGGGCTGAGTCAAGGAGTTGGATTGATGATGATTTTGAATTTACGGTCACTTGCTACATAAGTGACATAATAAATCCCACTAGTGAATGCTCTGTGAATTTAAAGCATTAATGGCCTCTGAAAGATGTAGTCTCTTGTCAATTAAATTATGGATTATGAAAATTTAATCCCTCCTTTTCATTTGGTAGATGAATGTGGCTTCTTCAGAATCTTAGCTCTGAACGGAGCCATTGTATCTCAGCCATGAAGTTTTTTTGGTATGAATCTTAATATGACTTCTACCCCACTTTCCTTCCAAAAGTTCATGATTTCCAAATGATAGCCGTTGGAATCGACCCCAGATTGTTTTCAGTGTTTTTCAGCTATTGCTTAAATGAACTAAGAAAAAAAAAAAAGAATTTTCAAATGACACTCTTCTTATTTGTCTCCAAGATAACTGTTGTACATCTCCACAGTACTGAGAATGCCGAGACTTATTTTCCACAAGAGTGTGTAATTAACTCATGTTATTTTGTGTTTTGAGGGCTAGAGGTACATGAATAGGAACATAATTTTTTAAAACCCTTGAAACCCACCTAGGCAGTGTGGGTTTTATAGCCATATTTGGGCACTGGAGAAGATTGCTATATGGTTTTATTGTTTGGGGGACTGGTTGTCATATGAGGTATATTGCCGTTTGGACTAAAATGCAGTCTGCTAGATATTGGCCTGTTCATAAAAGGGACTTTTCTGGTGTTGATTTTCTAAATCAGTAGAACATATTTTCTCAATGGCTTTTTCCCACAGGAATATATTAGATAAGTTTGCAAGATGTAATATGTTTGAGTCCTCCAGGCAGATGAACAAATAGCTTTTGAGATGAATTATTACGCTTGATGGCCCCATGAGCCATCCCATGTTTAAAGAGCCCAGATCATTTAATGCTCTGTAGTGGTGTAGAATTGCTATAACATATGCTTTAAAGTTTGGGGATTTTAAACATTCAATAACAAAACTGTAAATGGAAATAAGCATTTTAAATAATCTTGGCTGTTTTTTGTATTATAAACTATTATAGGAAAACATAATAAAAATAGGAACTTTTTAAAAATTCTATTTTAAGCTGGCAATTTGGTTTTAATTGAGAATGGGGATGAGTGTTTCTTCTTTGTTTTACCTCATTAGTGATACATTTAGAGTTTTCTATCTTTGGATTTTTATAATGGCTTAGAAATGAGAGCCTACAGGTGAAAAATACATGGCTTGAAAATTACCAGTTTAGTACCAGTATTTAGATTTGCAATTTTAGAAGGCTGAGAAGAGCTTAATGATGAAATGAAATCTCACTTGTTTCACATTCAGTAAATAGCCTTAAAGAAAATAAATCACCCTGACTATAAATTAATAAACTTGGGGAATTTATCTGCTTGTTGATAACAAGCAAAAAAATAAATTTTTTTAAATCTATATGTAAGTAAACTGAAAAGGGCTCCTCAGGACATCATTGGTAAAGTTAAAAAGGGTTTTGAGACCATCTCATCTGACCTCATTTTATAGATTAAGAAACTCTTCCAGGGCAATAGGACTAGCCCCAGGAGGCATAGTCATTACTGTTTCTGTAAAAGTGAAAATGTGTGTTTAGTAAGCTATGTGGCTCCTGTGTGCCAGGACATTTGATTTATATGGTCTCAGCCTCGTGGTAGATCTAGAGGGTAGGTAGTGTTCCTGTTGTACAGGTAAATTGTGCCATCTGAGAAAAATGTATCACCTACTTGAATTGCTAAATATACACGCTTGGTTTTATTCAACATAGTTTACTACATCTGATTATTAACTAATTCGATATACATTGAGTTAATTTTTTTTAAAAAAATTTACTAGCAAGATGAAGATTAAAGCATTTGGAACTCCTTCCCCACCATTTGTATTGTTTTTAAACTTTATGTGGAAAATGTAATTAGAAATCATAAAATGACAAGATCAATGGCATTTATCACCTGATTCTGTAATGGTCATGGAAGGAGACTAAAATGAAGCTCTGAAAGAAGGGCTCTGCATGCACATGGATCTTTAATGGAGAATTTTAAAATAATTTGAGGTAGGATTTTCAGTACATACTTAGTATCAGCTGCTGAGACCAAAAGTACTTGCCACATAGGTTGTTAAGGATGTGAATGTTATCTTTGATCTGGGCAGAGGTATTACTTTAGTTGTTAAGTCTTGCTATTTAATTGTAATGTGCTGGATTGAGATTGCTCCAGCATCTGATGATGAGATGCAGTGAACTAGGAAAACAAGAACCTTGAAAGACAAGATAAAAAGGCGATAGGATTTTCAGATATGAACCTGGTAATTAAGATTTCATGGGATGATGTTTTCTACCTCGGAGTGTGTTTTTTTTCCTTCCCCTACCAGCTATAATAACACTATTTGGCCTTTGAAGAATGCAGTCTTTCTATTTTACATAAATCTCCAAACTTTTAATTTCTTTTTAGCCTTTTTACCTTTTGGTGTGTGTGATTTTGTTCTTTACAAGTTAAACACATAGATTTCCCATAAAACAGGCAGTGTTATGATATGCTAATTTGATACACATGAATGTAGATATAGCTAGCACATGTTTATTTAATGTACAGAAATTCAGGTAGTGTTTATAATAGGAATCTGATGTCATTAACAGGAATTTTTAAAATAAAACGAACCACACTCTCATAAATGCTCCACAATCCATGAGCATCCCTTATTTACATTTCAATGGAAATGTTATACTTTGAGCATGTGTTAAGGAACTAAGTTTAACAAACCATTGCTCTGATTTACTTCCAAATTTGAACTTCACCTAAGTTTAGAAAGTCATTATTTCAAACAATTTTATTTCTTCAGGGAAGAGGCATATTTTTTTTATCCTTAGGTATGGATTATGTCATCACAAAAAGTGAGGTAGTTCCGAGTATAATATTTGTTTTATAAAACTCCAGAAAGGGAGGCTTTAAACACACTAATGACTTCCAGTTCATTAGCACCTGCCAGCTCTTGTGCCACCCTGTCTGTTTCCACTATCGCAGAAGTATCAAGTCATATAATGAAGCCAGCGTCAGTGCTGTGCTACTTGTGTAGCCGTGCAGAAAATGTATTTTTATGTTTTCCTTAAGAAAAAGCGATTGCTGAACCTAAGAGAAATGGAGCTGAGTGTTCCTGGAAAAACCTATGTGGGAAACAAAAACTAATTAGAGCAGTAAATGTGATGCTCACAGGTAATTGTAAAATAATTATTCCCCTTTAGCATCATCACTGTTTAATTGTGCTATCCAATATCTTCCTGCTCTGAATCCAGATGTGAAGGGATAGCAACCTCCTCCTCCTCCTGGGACTGTCTTTTTCATTTAGTGTGAGCTGCACACTCCTCCTAAAGGACTTATAAAAGAAAGAGGAGAACATTTAGGGAGGTTTTGAACAGCTTCCCTCTTCCCGTTTGTCCTCAATCATGACAGAAAGTGATTACTCCAACTATTTCTATAGTAATACTATTCCACTTATGTGGCTGAAATGCCTTTTGTGAGCATATTGGAGATTTACACTTTTTTTTTAGTGCCAACCCAGAGGTTTATGAAATTCTCTTTTATGAACTGCAGGTTGTA